GAATCCTCCTGACCTCCATGGTGGAGGTCAGCTCGATTCTCCCCAAATCATCAACACAGCTGAAGTAACGATTGACACTGCTGCAGCTATATTTTTGGACAAGTACCAACGCAACTTCATTAGTTTGCCCAAGGACACTAGAGGAGCCAGGCATCAAACCACCAACCTTCCTACCTAAAACCAAACCTCCACTTCTTACTTTCACACAGCTTCACATGGTGCGATCGTGTCTTTGTTTCTTTTCTGCTCGTTGTTTTGTGCTCAGTTTGCCACAAATGCTAATTCTCATACTGCTCACACCAGCTGTGAGTGTATGCAACACACACACACACACACACGCACAAAAGCCTCATTAATGAATTCTTTGAGACAAACACACTAATCAGAATGACAAAAAGAGGAAAAGCAGGACAGGAGGAAACAATGCCAGCGTATTTTCTCGTGTGCTGCTAAATTTCCCGTCCATTATGTTTAACCACTGTGCTTAATGAGCAAATCAGTCAAAGCCGGGATATTAACGATGCAACTGGTGCCGAAACACAATGGGCGCAAACAAGACCGCCGGTTCACGTGGCCACTGCCGCCTGCAGACTGTTGTTATGCTAATTAATTCACTTTTAGTTTATTAATCATTTTTATCTCAACCAGTGAAAGAGGTTCGTCTTCATCCTTTGGATTTTCTTTGCTCCAAGTTGCAAAAACCTCCACAGCTGATTCTCAGTTTTGCTTGAAAAACCTCCCAGCAGCACAGAGACGATCTCCACAAGTCTCCACTGGCTGAAACAAATAAACAGCACAGAGTTTTCAAGCCTACTTTCATCATTTTTTTAGTAAAAAGTGACAAAGAAGAAGATTTTCATGTGAGATTTTCTCCTGCAGATGTCTCACACAGCCACCAGTGCCTTCTGCCGCTCCATCAAGCTGCAGTGTGAGCTTTACCCGTCCAGAGAGGTCGCCATCTGCTTGGACCCGTACTGCGGCCTGGGCTTTGTCCTCTGGTGCCTTTGCAGGTCGGCAATCGTAGTTTCTCGTTCTTATTTAGAGCTAAAATGGAAGTTTTTAGCATTTCTTACTTTCTAAATGTTCCTGTTTGAGGCTTTTATATGACCAAGTTGTTTCTGTTTTCTCTGCTCTTTAAGTTTCAGTATAATTAATAATCACTAGTTTGTGTTTTTCTTTGTATTCGTGACTGACATGTTTGTAGATCTTTAATCATGTAACTGTGCAGCCTCGCCGTACTCAGCGCTCTCCTCTCTGCAGTGTGTACTCAGGTCACCAGTCCATCCTGATCCCTCCGTCCGAGCTGGAAGTGAACCCGGCTCTCTGGCTGTCAGCCGTCAGTCAGTACAAAGTTCGCGACACCTTCTGCTCCTACAGCGTCATGGAGCTCTGCACCAAAGGCCTCGGCCTGCAGACGGACTCGCTGAAGGTAAAGCGGGGCGGGCGGCTCCGTGTCACGGAAACCTTCTGACTGTTACAAACCTGACTGTGAAATCCTTTCTGTCCCGTCAGGCTCGAGGGCTGGACTTGTCTCGAGTGAGGACCTGCGTGGTCGTAGCAGAGGAGCGTCCCAGGATAGCCCTGACGCAGTCCTTCTCCAAACTCTTCAAGGACCTGGGACTCCACCCCCGAGCCGTCAGCACCTCCTTCGGCTGCAGGGTCAACCTGGCAATCTGCCTGCAGGTCTGTCCGACTTCCTGCTTCTGCTTTGCCTTCGAGCATTTCTTGGTGTCACGTTTAAGAACCTAGCTGGGGGTTTTTTCTAGGACAGGCTTGTTATCAGCTGTTGTGCTCAATATTCGGTATTTTGACCTCAAGAAAGAATTGCAGGAAGCACCCTTAACCCTCACTGTGGCATCTGCAGCTTGGGTACATGTGAAACAAGTTTCTCGTTAACAAAAACTAAGATCTGATACAAACGAGGACTCAAACATGTAAAAACTCCACTGTTAGAAGTTTACATCATCGTGCAGAACAGACAGCCTGAGATTTTGCAGAGTTTAGGGTATCAGAGAATTTATCCTTTCATATTTAATGATACAAGGGTATTCTTGCGTTTAAGCCATTAACCACAGTTCTCTGATCCCTACATCAGACATTATTATGCATTAAGTAGAAAAGTGTGAAACTGGGTGGAAACCCCCCCAAATATCTGTTCCAACGACATTAACTCTGTCCTACTCGGATGAACACGAGGGAAATTCAACTTAACAGCAGATAAATCGCATTAAACCGAGGCTGCGGTTATATCTGCTCGTCTACTTTAATCCACGAGGTACAAGAAGGATTTTGTCCGTTAGTCGGCTGAGCAGATGGTCGTCACTGTCAGTCCATCACAAGCGCAGACGACGGTCTGATGCGTAACACCTCCACAGGCTGGAGTAGGAGAAATGTTGAACTGTTTGATGACGTGCGTCACGTTTCAGGTGGCACAAAGCACGGTTGATATCTTAAAGAAGCTTTTCCTAAAGATGTCAAAGATCATATGTGGAGCTTTCCTGTTTTTACCTGTCCAGCCGCACATACTTGGAAATTTGAAAAAGAACAAAACATGTGGATTATGAACGTTTGATCCTGTGCTTCAGTCTGTCGTCTGGTATAAAATACTGTAAAGTGATTACAGTAATGCGATTACAGTGAGATCTTCTGGGAAAGCCAGTCAGAGGAAGCTGTTTGGCTTGGTTTGGTTTATTCATCCGACTGCTGCGTTTCATGTTTTTCCTTATATGACAGTATCTGTAGGACTGCTTGTATGGTGAGGTCTGAATAATAAGCTCTGAGCTATCTTTGGTGAACGGCGCGTTTACACCACTGTCCCCAGATCTGAGTATCAGAATGAAATCAAAGAAGAGTCGAGACGACTGAAGATGCAGCATTTTAAAATATCTGTCTCTTAGTGTTTGAACCTGAGCGAAGCTTAAAGAGTCTTAGACCTACAGATGTGGTCAGAAGTTTATATCTACTCCAACTTTTTTGGCCAAAAGCTTGTTGATGGCTGCCACACGGTCTGGTTGAGTTGCGACTTGCTAAGGACTATTTTAACCACTTCCTGGTAGTTCACTCTCCTCAGTTCTGACTACCTTCCCCGTCTTCGTTATCATGTGTGGTGTGAATCGATGTCTCGTTCACTCTTAGCATATATGGCTGACAACTGCTCCACTCTGTAGTCAGTCTTGTTAATGATCTCACTGAGGGGGTTTGTGTCTATGTGGACCTCGTCAGGGCCTGTCCCTTTCTTTGATATGTGCCACTGTGATGGTTACTAGAGCGGTTAGATCCACTGAGCTTGTCCTGTGCTCTTCCAGTGTTGCTCTGTCTCGTATTATTTCCCTGCCACTGTGTGAAACAGCTGGTTTCTCCTGCCTTCTAACGCTTTCTCTTCAAGCGGCGGCCAAGTTCAGCCTCCAGCAGCGTAGATCAGCTGGTTAGCAGGTATTGTAGTGCTGCATTGGTAACCTATCCTACTGTAACTCAACGATCACTTGGGG